AAAATAAAATAAATAATTAGACTAGTGGAACGGCCGCACCACCAGCCTGGGGGGGTAGCCTCCCACTACATGGAGGCAGGTCGACGGCCAAAGGAAGGGGCGGCGGTAAACCCTCAGTGGACCACCAAACGTATTACACGAAAAAAAAATAATCATGGGGACCCCGTCATTTTGTTACGGACGGCCGTAGTATTCTCCGCGGTGTTCTTCAACGGTGCACCGCCGACAAGGCAGAGGTTAGCGCGGTTGTTGTGACGGGGTAGAAAAAACCGCACCGTAAAAAAATTGTGCCACGGTGAACGGTACCGCACCGCACCGCACCGTCGAATTTGGAGATGGTAGAAACCCCACCGCACCGCACCGTGATATGATAAAACCCCACCGCACCGCACCGGCGCAAGCGAGCTTTTCTTGCACCTTCTAGAGGTCAGGTCATGGGTTCGAATCCCGGCGCAAGCGAGCTTTTCTTGCAACGTGATATTTTCTCTCGCTTCCGCTCCTGGCCTAGTGGATAGCGGTAGTTCGTGTGTACACAGAGGGAAGAGACTTGCTGAACTCTTCTCGCATTAAAAATCGAAGGCAACGTACCGCAGGAGGGGAGAGTGGAGAGGAGCTCTTCTGTGTGACCACGGGTTGGGGTAAACGGCACCAGTGCCATGAACGCTGATGTGAAGTGAAGACCAAAAAAAAAAAACATGCTGGAGCGCTGATTTGAAGCGAAGAAAAAAATATAAAACATGCTGGAGCGCTGATATGAAGCGAAAAAAAAAAAATGGTGGACGACCGGTCTCTAGCCCATCTAACAGCTCCACACAGAGCACAGAGCACAGAACGCACTCCATCTCAGCCTTGCCTTGCGTTCTTCCCTCTCCGCAAACACCGAAACACACCCGTCTGTTGTTCACCAGAAGGACGAAGAGAGACAAGGAGGCCACCCTTGCTTGGACAAGAGCTTGAAAGAAGGTGTGTTCATTGCTGTCTCCTTGGAGAGCCAGATTAGATGCCATCGCGGTTTTGGCCGCTCCAACACGTTTTCATTATGCGATGTTTTATCCGCACGCGCTTGTTTCGGGCTCGGTTTTTTAAATGATGTGATGCGTTTGCATCGGCTAGAGTTGTCAACGATAACGGGAAGCTGACACCCGGGGCCGTACGCCAGTATGCCAAGGAAGAGTGGCCAAGGCCTTAACCGAAACGGAAAGGTGTGCGTGCCTGCCTTGTTTGGAATCTTCCCGACAGCGCCGTGAACTTTCTCGGTAACCGCCACGATTTCGTGATTGCCGGACCAGGGCGCCGAGAAGCTAAAGCACACACATCGTCACCTCCCTTGCGACACCATGCTTCGCTCTAGCAATCACCGTGTTGTACAGATGGCGCTGGTGGTAGCCTGTTAGCGTTCTTCTTGCAAGTACTTGTTGAGTCGCAGAAGTTTTGCAACACGAAGTGTTTTTGGGGCCGTGATAAACCGTGACCTCGGTGAGTCTACATCGACAACAGCAGTAGAGAACAACCTCCAAACGAGAAGTCAGTAGCCGTCTCCTCTGCTACATATGACGCCTTGCCCATGAAATTTTGCAGCAGCAGACTTCTCATCGACGTTGTATGTAGCGAATGTCGTGGTTGTGGTAGCCCACCGCCCTCTTCCTCTCCCTGCTGCACAGGATCCATACCGCAAGGTTCTCGGAAATGTTCATCTTGTTTCAAACTCCATGTCCTACGTGTGACGGCAGATTAGTCGTCTACCGTCGACCGCACACTCTCGACTACTATCATAGCTTCTGGGGTGATCGCAAGGGATAGCCGCGAAGCGCATTGTGTTGTTCCCAGGCATCAAACAGGAGGCGACCGTTCTGCCGCCAGCTGACGCATCGCTTACCTCGCAACCACCAACAATCCAGAAATAGAGTCAGCGTGACTGCAACGGGTCTCCTCTCTCTTATATATTAGAGATCACATACGCTCCGCCTTCATTTCGCGTGCTCCCCTCGGCGCGGGCTTGTGCTATCTGCCACCGCCACGCAGACCGTCATGACTCAAGTATCGGCGTGACCGTCCGGCCCCGATGGTTAGCGCGCCGACGGCGTGTTTGTAGTTCCAACATTCCAATGGCAATGCTGTTTGGCGTGATCCATGGTTGGGTGATGCCGTGATGAGCAGTGGTCACCGGCCCCCATCGTGGGGAGTCTAGAACTTCAGTAGTACCGAACCCGTGCAATATCGATCCGTCTCGGTTTTTTCCTCGGACAACAACGTCCATAACCAACTTGTTGTGTACACGAGCCCGTTGAGGGAAATCTGATATTGCTTGGTCAGTGTACAGGTACAGGGTTACCCGTGCGTTCGGCGTCCATCCCACTTCACCGTATAGTCCATATGAGTGTCTGTACTTGCGTACCATACGCGTATGATACTGCAGATTTCATGTATGCATAGTAAAACTCGTTCACATTACCATGCACGTGGTACCATTTTGTGAACATGACTCTCAACCTTTCTACCGCTGTAAGCACGCAGTCCCTCCGCAAAATCGAAATATTTTGGCCAGTCAGAAATCGGAGAAGGCCGCACTCCTTGCAAGACGAAGGGTGTTATTCTGTACAACAAGTCTGAGGCCGAGGAGAGCCACCGCACAGCGTATCACAGAGCGTACCACCTCACCAAAGCATGATGGACCAACGGTTCTCACGTGCGCTTCATACAGCGGAGCCCACGACGACCACGGTGCGGTGACCAGACCTTTAAGTGCTTGTTGTCCCCAAAGTATCCTAATTTGGGCGTCCAGTCCAAAGCATACGAGGGTTAAGATGTCGGGTTAGTTCTTCGAGATGTAATGGCATGTTCCAAACACCCCGTTGCCAACATTTATCCCGCCTGGAGTTCGCCACTGGTGAACAACCACAGGCTTGTGCTTTGCGCCTGTGAGTGAGAAATCGTCCGTCGTTTTCTTCGATGTGCCGATTGCTAGTTTCGGGGCTTGGCGCCTTTCGATGAACACGTTTTCACGCTCTAGACCAACCGCACCCGCTCGCAACGTCAAGACCAGCACCCTTTTATCTACTGGATGTCGACATGTGCCTCCACGTGGTAATCGTTGGACTTGATTGTCTTCGAGGATGGTGCACAACGTGTCTCATGAGCTCGTTGTGCGAAGCTTGTTTTGTCGTTCGGCAAAAGAGCAGGGTCATTTGTTCGCTTGGTACCGGATAAAATATGTCGTACTCCACGCAACATGCCCTCGTATACGACCCGCACTCTCCTGAGTGTTTCACGCTTGTCGGATATACGACGTATATGATTGTGTAGTGGTAACAATCGTGGGGTGCTAGGTACCATATTGGTTCCCTGTGGTGGGGTACCGGATGTCTTGACGGGAACCACGATACAGAGCTTCTATTGTACCCAATAACGGCAGCAAGGCTGTCACCGACATCGCGTCCGATCTGCCAGTTTTAATACAAGCGGCCCATGGTCTCACCAGAAATATTTATCGGCAGTACCCATTCAGATTGAGTGTGATGTCCCCAAACCCAGCATATCGCCGGCAATTTACCTGGCACAAATACTGTAGCACCATGAAAGTGTAGCATTAGCCTTGCTCTGTAAGGTTAGCGCCTCTGTGGTGAGGAGCGAAGATATATTTGACCGGCTGTTGGGCTGGCGCCATCCGACCGCACACACTCCTTGTTGCCATATCTGCGAACGCCGCCCGGGTAAATCGGTTTGATGATTCGGTAACGAAATGGGACGGTAGCAATGTAGTTTAAATGGTAAACGGTACCAAAATGTGTCGCCACAAGTGCCCTGGGGTGGTCAGCGGTAAGCTAAATGAGGCGATAGGCCGCCACAAACCAAGACAAAACGTTCCCTGTAAGGCTCTTCAACAATTTTACCAGAAGAGCTAAATATTTGCCGCGTTATTGTACACTCTGGGTAATTACCAAAGACAGCCTTGACAATTTCATAAATGACGTGCAACGTCTTGTCTCATTTCCCTCCTCCACCCCCGGCCTCCCGTCCCCCCCGTTCCCCCCCCCCTCGACTCCGCAGAGAACCAGAGGAAGACCACCACCACACGTCATGGCTTGCCCCACAGGAAAAGCGTGCGCTGAGTCCCCTCTCGACATGGACAAGTGCACCTCGTCCACCAAGAGCCGGTACTTCGTGGGCATCTCGCCCGCGGTCGTGTTCGTCGCGTCCCTGTCGGTCCTGGCCTTCCTCGCCGTCAGCCTGGCGGCCTGCGTCGTCGCCGCCACCCACGTCACGTTCTTCTTCGCCCTGCCACTCGCCTCGGCGGCCGGGGGAGCGTTCCTCGTCGCCGCCCCGGAGATGACGCCGTTCGGCGCCGACCCGGCGGCCGTGCTCCTCCTCAGAGCAGGGGGCGCGCTGGCAATCGCCTACGCGGGGAGCGCGATGCTGGTGGGGAAGTGCTGCCCTGCCAAGGTTCGGTCCGCCCACCTGGCGCTGGTGGCGGCGGCGCTCGGAACGATGGCCGCCGCGCTCGTCGCGGACGAGCCCAGCGCCCTCGCCGGTGACGTCGGAGACAAGGCCGCCGTTGCGCTCGGGCGGGCGGCGGCGGCGGCGGCCACGGGGGCCTTGATGTCGGCCGCCGGCCCCGCCTTCACCAGGAGGATTCAGAGCGGGAAGCCAGCAGAGCCGGCGGTGCTGAGTTGCTAGACTGCTGCCTGTTGGTCTCTCTCTACCCTTCTCTGCCTAGCCATGTATTTTTCGGCACAGGGAGGGCGTGGGTAGGGGAGGGAGGGTTCATCGGTGGTATCCTTCGTTAAGAAGTTGGGTTTCAGCCTTATGGGGTGGGGAAGGGTTCGAGCTTCGGCGGACCAGGCAAAGAGTCGTCTTCAGTGCCCTTCGCCTTTGGTCGAGATTCGACGGGCGCGGGGTGTTTGTTTGGCTTGGCGTACGTGCGGAGGCAGTTTGCGCCCTACCAACGCGTGTGTGCGAGCCTGGTGAAATCACAGCAGTAGTTGCACTTGTCGGAAGGGCCTGTTTGGGCTGCTCTGCCTGTTTGTTGGTGACGGCCCACGCTGTGTTATTGTTGCCCATGGTGCTGCACCGCGCACGTGTTGCAAAGTTGTAACGTTCGTAATCGAGAATTGCACGCGCCGGTTTCTCCACTGTCTGTTATCGGTGTTTCAAGAGTAGCTCCAGAAGAATGTTCCCCACACTGTCGATGTCGGGCTTGTCTTTCACACGTGCCCTCGAATTATTTTGTCTTGATATTGATTTAAGCTCTCAAGTTCTCTTGCTGCGTTCAACTCGTCGTGCGTGTGCTGTTCCCTGAGCTGTCATAATTTCAAGCGTCGCAGTCACTTTGCTGAGGGCGGGCGCACTGGTTTTCGTCGGCGATTTGCTTGAGGGTTGGGTGACACCTGTCTCTTTTGGATAGGTTTTGTGTCTGTTTGGTGTCTGCTGCTACTTGCTGCTGTATTGTCTGGATTTCGGCATGTTTTTTCTGTCGCCATTTATCTCGGCGCGCCAACCTTGTATGGGTGGTTCGATCTCTACCTGAAAATTCCTCTCTCCTGTCTCTTTTGAATGGCGTGCCCCAACGCCGAAAGGTCTTGAACTACGCTCTTGTCGCACCGAATCCCGCTTCGGGTTGCTTGGCTAATCAGTTTCCTTCTGAATCATCAGCCGCTGGTCTGTTGGAATCATTTCTCGGCCGCTTTTATTGAGCGCTGTCACGACTTGTAGACACGCCGTGATAGGGGTATCCTGTAAGGTGGCAGCTCTACTACACTATTTCAATAATACGACACGACTCTGAAAACACTACAGTGTTGCAAATGGAGTATTTCCGTTCCCAAGCTCGAGACGGGAATGACCTATGTGGTCGCCCTCACCTACAGAGTGGCACCCGACCACAGATACGAAATGCAAACCAGCCCCGCGGTGACATCAATCAGCCAAGTACGTACCAGTCTAGACCCACGTTATTTGGAACCTTCTCAACACGACACTAATTGATGTCCACACTAGAGTGTATTAGCGCAGCCAGCCGGAGCGACATGAGGACTAAATATAGACACACACATGATTCGGCCTCTTGTGGCCTGGGCAAATCCGCGTTCGCAGACACATTCGCGGTTTGGATTCGGCGGTGTGACTTCCATCGAATCAGATCATGAATTCTATCTTGAACATTTTTTATTTTCGTGATATTATCATGTATGTATGTGTGGTGTGTGTGTGTTGTGTGTGTGTGTTTTCGATTATGGCGACAGTCCCCCCATTTTTCGTGGTGAGACTTGTACTACACTTTCCAGCGTATGTAGAGTACTACGCTTTTCAGTGTATTTTTTCGTACAACTACAACTATCTAGGGTCACACAGGAGGAGGTAAACACCAAGGCTTTTTTCTTCTTTTTGTTTCTTTCAATGCCCCACCTTCCTCTTGCGGTGCGTGCTGAATTAGTCTATATTTTTATCGCGAGAAGGATCCAGCCATCCCTTTCCCTCGTCGACGCTAACAACGTCGAAAATTGGTACTCACGAGAGCTTTCCAGCTTTTCGCTTTCACCCGCAAATTTCGTAATTTTCTCGCTCCATGGGGATTCGAACTCACAACCGTTGCGACAAGCGGATTACGAGGATACCACGAGACCACCGGGGCGACCGGTACAACGAATCCATCCCAATTTTCCGCAGGGTCCCGACAGATAGGGTCCATTCACACACTGCCAGGCGCGTGCCCCCCGACGTGTAGGCTAGCGCGCGTGCTCACGTGTGAGCATGCCAAATGGCGCGACCAGCTCTACGCCCGCGGCCAGACTGGCGTACGGTAACTCTTCTTGCAGTCACCCTGCATCCCGCCATGTCCTTCTTTACGATGTCGCCGGCAGTGGTCCAGCGAACTGCCTTCCCCAGTACAGCAGTAGTCCCGTCAGCAGGCACTGCAGGGGCTGCAGCAGGTGAAGGCGTGACGGGCATCGCAGCCGAGCGCCAGGACATGTTGGGCGTGAACGGTGTGGACGTGCTTCAACCGGAATCGAGCGAGGACCTCGAGGAAGAGCCATCGCCACCGTTCTCGCCAGGTATTGCTGCTTTGAACAATAGTGGAAGCAACGCGAACAACGGCGGTAGGACTACTAGGGTACGAGCCGCAGCAGCAACGAAGGACCGGGCCGCAGCAGCCACAGCTGCTGCCACTACTGCTGACGCAAGAAATAGACAACCAACACGGAGTCTGGAGAGCGTGCGGGGGTCGCTGATCCGACAGGAGGAGACGATCATTTTTGCGTTGATCGAGAGGGAGCAATTCCGCTGCAACAATGCCATCTACACTGATCGGACCTTCCGGGTGAACCGCAGAGATGCAGCGGACATCTACGGTCGAGATGCGAGCTTCTTGGAGTACATGTTGTGTGAGACAGAGAAACTGCACGCGACAGGTTCGTATGTACATTTTTTTTGGTCTAGGTGTACTGGTATGCTCTGTTTGTTGCTTGTCTCTGTAGGTGTATACACTCCATACTACAGGGTACACAGGAAGTGGCAAATTGGAGTTCGTGGGTGCGTAAGCTGAGAGCGTTGATATCGTACCATGTTTAAACACTGATGAACGCTCGGTGGTACGCGCCGTCAAGGCATGCGGCGCCAAGCTTCGAATGTCGCCGGCTCTCTCCCCTCCGGACCGTCGACCTCGTGAAGCATACTTGCCACCAGCGTCTTTTCAACGTGTCCATTGCTATGTCAAAACGAAAAACGCCCTTGCTCTTCTTATGTCCCAACTCTACCAGTTAGACGTTACATGAGCCTCGAAGAGCTCGCCTTTTTCCCGATGTTTCTGCCCGAGCCGATTTTGCCGCCACTTGACTTCCCTCGGCTATTGGCTCCGAACGACGTCAACGTGAACGACCAAATTCTCAAGCGGTGAGTTGGTTACGCAAGCACACGTGGGGGTGTGGCACCAGACCTTCTGTAGCTAGCTTGTGTAGAGTGTAGAGTAGGGAGACCTTCCTGGGGCCTGGGCTCAAGATAAGTTTTTTGCAATCATGAACCGAAACGCGGCCTGAAAAGCAAGATGGCGTCGTCAGGTTCACACAAGATCTTCTTGATATGCTGAATAACAAGAATCGAACAGACCAGTCTCGCTGTTGTGCGCAAACACGTAGTTACCCTACAGATGTTGTCCTACCTAGCACCAGCTGAGCTCACGGCGCCTGATTGGAACCCCTAGCCCACACGCTACCGCAGCTATCACTAGTGGTGCGCGCTCCTCTGGTAAAGAAAAACTTGCGCGACATGAAATTCGCGACAAGTGCAAGCCAAACAATGCGCACCTAACATTTTGCCGTGCGTACGACGCATGGGATCATGTCCGAACATATGCGGTTCTTTTAGGTACGTGTCGGAGATCGTCCCGATGATCTGCGAGCCGGGAGACGACGAGCAGCACGGCTCGTCCGTCGTGTGTGATGTCAACGCGCTGCAGGCACTCAGTCGGAGGGTTCATCTCGGCAAGTTCGTCGCCGAGAGCAAGTTTCAGGTGAACGCTCAAAGTTGGGCGGGGGCGTGAACATGGTCTTGTCTTGGGAGAGAGAGTATAGCGTTGCCTTCCATGCTGTCGAGTGAGTCATGTTCCATGTCAGTGGTAGATTTTCCCCACGAGTAACTGCACCATGCTCAAGATGCTTTGTACAATAGGGGCACCGCGTGCGTCCGGTGGAGCCCCGGGAACCTAGGTGGAGGACGTTTGTTTGCAATTTTTCTTGCTCGTGCTTTTTGAATGAAACTATGGCTCGTTGATTCATGGGGCCCGAGGGAACCTTCGTTCCTGAATTCACCCTCTGGGAGTAAACCCGCGTCGTACGCGCGAACAGTATTTCAGCCGTTGTTTTCTATTTCTGCTTGACTCATGGGCACCTGATGTGTGCAGGAAGACAGCAAAACCTACCAGGACCTTTGCCGGGCGGGAGACGCGCGCGGTGTGTTGGAGCTACTGACCAATAAGGCCGTGGAGGAAAAGGTGCTTAAGCGGGCCTTCATGAAGGCGTCTATGTACGGCAGCGACATCAACGACGTGTCCGTCTCAGCCGAGGACGCAAAGGGCGGTGACGTCGCCGCCAAGGCGGAGCAGAACTTCAAGGTCAACCCGCAGTGCATTGTTGACATCTACCGGGACACGGTGATTCCGCTCACGAAGGACGTGGAGATTCTCTACCTTTTCCAGAGAACGGGCTACCCGTGCCCATCGTTGGAGGGGATACACGACATGTGAATCGTGCGGTCCTGTCTCGACGTGGCACTTGTCTGCAGAAATCTGTCTGGCCTCTCGCAGTTCACCCGGTCACCGTCCCGATACGATTTTGTTTTGCTCTTGCGGGAGCCTAGTAGTATGTTCATAAGGTATTTCGGCTTTCGCCGCCCCGCTCGTAGATCAAGTGCAAGATAGGTGAAAGTGTGTCATTCATCCGTGTGTACATGCCTACCCCGACATGTGATAAGCGGGCATTTTTCCAGAATGGGCATATACAGGGGGGTGAAGGTTGATAGCGTGGGAGACTGAGGGGGTGTTAGGCGGTAGCTGGGAGGGGGGGGAGAGACCCAATTACGTAGAAATCTGTCTGTGACTTAGATCCGAGCGCCGAGGATCGCTACTTGTGTGTGTGTGAGGGGGGCTAGACCACTACGCGATACATGTATAGAGATTGAAAAGCACAACGAGCAACAGCCAGGAGGAAAGCCATGGCCAAACGGACATGATCGGTTCGCAACGCCTATCTCAGAAAATGTGTCCGTGCATGGAAGTTCACGTGGTGCGAGAAAACGGGCCTTGAGGTCTGAATCGGATGTTTGTTTCCATGCAGTGGAGACGGGACCTGAGGGTAGGTAAATGTGAGGGACGCCTTGTTAAGTGAAACCACAAAAGGTGCATGCTGCACAAAATCCGTTGATGTTTGTTGGTCACCACGTATCATTGTGGAGGCGGGGTGCGGCCGCCACTTTTGCCTGTTGTAAGTGTGCACACGTGACATTGCTTCAGTGGGAGCCCTGGGTTGCCCTCCTTATACTTTCTGCTGTCATCCCCACCTCTGAATTGCTTTGTGTTCAGCAAAAGCATAGACCACCTTTTTGGTGTCAAGCTTCTACAAGGTGCCAACAATTCGCCAAGAATTTAATTTTTTGTGTGTCATATGGAACGTTCCCAACTTGTTCAAGTGTACTCCTCCACCCGCTATCCATCGTTGTTCGGGCAGTTTTCCAAAAACTCCGTCGAGCGCTGCATGTACGGTAGCGGCGCCTTCGCAGTTGCTTGAAAGCCCCATTAGGTTTACATCCACCGCGGCACTACGATGCCATTAGCCAAGTGTTATTAGTCCAGCACACGCAACGCCGTGGGTGCACACTTGTGATGTGTGATCATGAGAACATGTTAAACGCGAGCAACGGGATATGTAGTTTTGGTGTCCAACAACGTATTTTGCGTAGTGTCCGTTTGGCCCTCCAGCAACGCGTAAACCTTTATATTGCTACTCAACCACCGAACGAGCTCGGTCGATTCCCTGACGCAATGGGGGAAACAGCGGCAGCCCGGAGGACAAGTTGCTGTGGAAACTCCCCTTACACCGAATCCCAACGGTACGAGAAAAAGCAGCCACCCCGGTCGAAATACCTTTCCGCCCCGCGGCTGGGACATTCCGAATTGTTTTCCATACCTCACTAGAGGAATCTGCCCGAGTCGGACCGAACGACAAGCAACGAAGTTGCCAAACATATCCTACAGCAATAAAACAATTATCAGACGAGTCCCGAGCTCTGATCATCCCCAATACGAGAGGCGCACACGGCCTACGGTCTCGGCACGCTCTCAGAAAAAACACAACGATTTGCTGGAAGACGATATTTGGCCCATCTTCCATCAAAGAGATGGGATCGATGTCCACGCCCACCAACAGCTACACCAGCTGGGTGAGGCTGTTCCCAAGCCTCAGCCCTACCCTCCCGCTGGGGGAACGATAAAGCCACAACAAGTAAGCCCCCCGCCGACGCAACGCCCGGTCGGTCTGAGCATCCGGGTCCAGCTTTCTCACGAACTCAATATCCTGTTTCATGCTGCTTTTTTTCTCTTCAGCTAGAAACCCTACGATATTGGTCGCTGTTCAGCCCTTGTTAGCGACCGCCTTTTTTTCGTCGGTTCCCTTCTCAGCAGTTCCGGTTGTCACTAGCCAACAGTAGCTGCAGCGCGGTGATGTCCGTGCGCAATACGTTTGCCTATAGGCTTGCGCCATGCTTCACTACTATGCGCCCGCAGTACTCTTCGTGGTGGCAGCGAGATGAACGGGTGCGTGGTTGCCGTTTCTGGTCTCCTCTGGCTCAAAGGTTGGCACCAGCCTTGGCAAGCATGCCCACCGCCCGGGTTGTATCGAGTCGCGGCAACATGAAGGGCGTAAAAGCCAACACCGCTTCTGCAGCATTCACGTGTACGACGTGCTCGATTATCGCCAACATGACATTCTTTACGTTTTGCGTGTTTCTGGCATCCATGCTTAGCGCCGCCAAACCATTCCCACCTCGTCAAAGGGTAACGTCTGCTCCAGCAGCCAAGAGGGCTTGCATGGGTGCCCCGTGGAATGGCGTCCAACCCTCTTCATCCATCTTGTCGAATTGCCAGCCCTCGCCACCAACGGCTGCACCACCTCCGCTCTGCCGCGAGCGGCAACGTGGAGAGGGGTGGATCCGCCTGTGACACGACAACCTTCGCATCTGCTCCACTCTCTTCCAAGATCGCCGTCGCCACATCCACATGCCCCTACATCGAGAGCCCACATGTAGCATAATTGGAGATTAGCATTCACTAGCAGCTAGGAGGGCTTGGGTCATAACCATGTGACCCACAATGGCTGCTTGATGAAGCGGCGTGCTGCGCCACCCAACGTATCCTTATCGAGCCCCTTGTCCACTATCAATTGCACGATGTCTCTGCCACATACAGCAGTGTCCCATGGAGACGGGGGAGCTCAACGATCTCCGAACCGACCCGATCCAAGTCGTCCATACATGATTTGTCTGGGAGGTAACTTTCATCCCAAGATGAAACGAAAGGCGGGACAATGTCTGGTGGTGGTGGTGGTGGTGCTGCTGCTGACCCTCTGTTGAAGATCTTTATGATGCAGGAGTTGGTGCCGTCAGTGGCGTCTTCTTCCCGCGGTAAGAGCCTGCCTGCATGCCTGAGTGGTTGTGGTGGGGCGTAAACGCGAAATACTTGAGATAGATGTTACATATTGTCAGTGGAGAAGAAATCCCGGGAGGTGATCACAAAGGGTCAAACAGTGCCGGTAAATATGGACAAAGGACGCGCCTGAGCCAGGAGGAAGCATCTAGTTAGGTGATTGGGATGTGAGATTGGAAAGGCTACAGTTGCGCTTCGTTCGGTTGAAGAACAAGCCGTCAGGACATTCTTTGAGGTTGTAAGGGGATAGTAAGCTCGCCAAGCCACCAGGTTGTGGATTCGATTCTCTCTCTGGAGGGTTTCTTTGCCGACAAATGGCAGTAGAAATCGATTGAACTTGCGAGTATACAAACTCCGACTTCACGGTCGATGGGGGAAAAGCGGGCGGCTGAAGAACCAACAAGGCTGAAAGTATTCGTGGTGTTAACCTTTTCTTACGGTATGTCTGAGCCCGGCTGATACGTCAAATACATACAACACCAAACGTGCTCAGACTGGCCCCAAAATAAATGGGACCAACACGAACACACATAATAAATAAATGACCCGTTCATCATCATCATCATGCAAACAGAGGAGGATTGGGTGCGAGTCTACAGCATATACATGCTATGTTGTCCGAAGGGTCTCTAAAACCGGCTGCATGCTCTGATGGCTCCGTGCATGTTCGGGTATGTGTGTTGTTTTTTTTTGTTTTTCTCCCATCATTGGACTCTGTCGTCTGCCCCTCTGGCCCCTATCCTCCACTTCTACTAGCTAGGCGAACCAACCGGGGTCACATAGGAGGGGGGGTTGGACCCCCTCCTGCGGTTCATGCCTGAGGTATTTTTATCGCGAGAAGGGTACAGCAATCCCTTCCCTCGCGACTTACGAAGTCGATTATGGTTTACTAACTGTGTGTGTGTGTTGCGCGCTCTTTTTTTGATCTTCGTGAGGCAGTGTGCTTGTGTGGTGTCTTCCATGGCCACTGTTGCTGTGCTGTCTCTCTTTTCCGTTGCCGTAACGTACATCAGCGCAGTTTACCCACACTCTTACACAGACAACCAGCATGTGTTGCACTGCTGTATTTTAGTGTTTGTGTTCATGTTTTCATCCTACTTTATTATGGCGACAGTTCCCCCATTGTTCGTCGTGAGATGTGTACTACACGTTCTCAGGGTATGTAGAGTACTGCATTGTTGCAATGGTATATATTCTCATGTACCATTGTTTTTCATTGTGTTTTTCCGTACAACTACAACCATCCAGGGTCACACAGCAGGTAATCACCACCACCAGGGCCTTTTTTTTTTCTTTTTTTTTCATGCCCCACCTTCCTCCTGCGGTGCGTGCTGAATTTTATTTTTATCGCGAAAAGGGTCCACCCGTCCCTTTCCCTCGTCAACGGTGTGAATGTCAAAGTCTAAGTTTTGTACTCACGAGAGCTTTTCAGCTGTATTTCGCTTTCACCCGCAAAGTTTGCAATTTTTCACCCCATGGGGATTCGGTGTACGTGGATACCACTAGATAGACCACGCGGGGTACAGCAGCACGGCGGTACCACCGTACGTCCTGCACACCGAGCTGACCTTTTGTTCTCCATCCACTCAAGAACCAAGTAGCTTTCCAAGCGAACATCTCGTGCAGGTCCTCCTGTGATGCGTCTGTTTTTGGCGTGGGACAGAGGCAAAGAGCGACGCAGGACGGTGCTGGGTACTGGCCGCCGCCGGGGGTGCGGGGGGTAGGGGCGGGACGATTGACATTGCCTCGCAGAAAAAACAAACAAACGAGGTATTTGTCCTAGGGAGGAGAGGGAGGAAGGTTGCGCCGCCTTACAGTGGTACGGCACACCGCCCATAGCCCGTAGTGACACTTGCGACCTATGATATCACCTGGAGCCTGGACCACATCTATGAAGCTCTTACTGCTGTTTCCATTACTTCTACTCTCGCGGACGGCCTTCGCTGCCGAAGGAGAAACCAGGTGTGTCCAATCTCATGTCTACGATGTCGAACTAACTGTAAATGCACATGATTACGTCCCGCCCACCCTATCCATGACCTTTTGGTCTACACTCAACCTTGCCTCTGGTGACGAAGGATGTACGTTTCACCCTCGAGCGAAGCAGATGCCTTGTTTACATTGGCAAGGGGAGATACTTTTGGCGTGAACCAACTTGCGTTGGTGAGGTTGCATGCATGTACGTTTGTAGGTGTCTCCGCATCATCCAAGCATTATCTACAACTTCCATGTAGAACATGCATTCCACTTTTAGGATGAGGATGTACAAGGGTTTGTACGCAGAGACGACCATACGAGAGTAGATCGACTTCTGGGACCACTTTTTGGCCCCATGTTCATCACCTGTTTTAGCCCGTGAACAATGGCATGGGCGTCTCCACCTTTGAACTCCTCGACAAGGAGGGCCAGGGTATAATGCTGGAATGGAGGTGCGGATGCCTTGTAGAGGGAAGAGCACGAGGTGCATTCATCAGCGGCAGGGAGAATCGCTGGCTGATCGCGCAGAGCGAAGTTGCGCCGCATCTATCTGTTCTTGGGTGGAAAGCGCTACTAGGCGCAAGCGCGGAAGAAACACCTCGCCCACCGCTGTAAAGGAGGCACCAGGCAACCTAGACGTTGTAGAAGGTCTCGATTTATCTCTACAAGAGAAATTGAAATCCTCCTTTTCGTGCGGCCCCGTGAAACACTCTCTCGCCAGTTGTTGTCTTATCATCCCTATCAAACGGCCCCTCGATATACGATTTAGATTGATAGGGCTGGTAGACAAGAGACGGCTCAAGTGGGGAGCTGCCTTGCACCCAGGGCTGGAACTGACTGCGTCATCCAATCAGCAGGCGTCTTTCTTTCTTCTCGTGTTCCAGAAATCTCGCAAGAACGCGGATTTCCTGCGCGTCCCAAAGGGGTTACAACTCAGTGAGACACCAACCGGCTTACCACCCTCATCCATTCTAACACAGACGTGGGAAAGACTTTCATACAGGGAAGTGACTTAACGCCTGAAATGCGTGCCCCGAGAAAGCTACCAGCCACACTCGTTATTCGTGCACTCTCTGTACGCGCGCGTGTCGATTCTTATCTACTTCGAAGTATTAAACTATTTCGAGGTATGCTACTTTCTCTACACTATGTATGTAGCTGAGAACCAAGCCTCTTGATTCGTCCGCTGTCCGCTTTCGGGTTATTGTCTTGGTCCACACGGCAGCGACCACGCCAGTGACCATGCCAGTGACCACGTCAGCGACCACACTAGTGACCACACCAGTCACCACACCAGTCACCACGCCAGTGACCACGACGAGCCCAGCGTGTTTGCCTTGGGCGAGTATTTCGACTACGATACCTTCGTCGTCCTGGTCAGCATCGTCGGTGGCTGCGCCATCGTGAGTTAGGCCTGCTGGTGCCTACCGTGTACATGTGGACACTGCGATGTTTTGTTCCGTGGCTTGCGCTGCTTTGGCGTTTTTGGTTTTCGCAACCCCCCCCAACGTTGCCCTGCCTGTGCTCGCAGGCATATGCATGCCCCTTCAAGGCTCACCATCAATGGTGTTAGCCCTGAATCCGGCGATAGAGGTATGGCAACGAATGCCTCCCACGCTACCTCGCCTTCTCCGGACGCCACAGCCGATCAGAACCATCCCCTTCAACCTCCACGTACCCCCCCAGGCAGAAAACTAGTCAGAGCCGAGTGACAAGGAGACGTCAAACCGAGGCCAACGAATCACCTCGACCATGCCTCTTTTGGCACTGTGTTCCCAACAATGTGACTGCTTTGCACCACCTTTGCCTTGAGCAAAAAAGAAGCCGGGACTCCAAAGAAGATGCTTGGAGATAAAGAGACATGCAAGGTTGCATGGTCCACGGTAGACTAACCTTGGAGGGCTGTCAATGTCTGCCACTGTGCTTGAGTGGCCCTTGTGCGGCACACACACGCCATGCACGTTGACACGGCAGGCTGCAGTTCTGTGGTCGATCGATGGGCTCTCCCCTCGGCTGAAGGGCTCGCGACTCTCACAAACACAGAACGTCATTCATCCTAATGAGTAAAGGAACACATATACGAAAGCACGAAGACAGCTGACAGAACGGAGAGAGGGGGGGGGGGGATGGACCGACCAACACCAGTTCAGCTCATGTCTATTTTTCTGTCTGCTCGGCGATCTTGCGTACTTATGGCAATGATGCGTTCGAGAGGTCATGTGCGGCGATGTTCTCACGTGCGTATCGCTTATTTGAGGCGGAGAGGCATCATCAAATTTTGTTATGTGTGTGTGTGGGAAGATACAGTACCAGCAGCATGCGTGGTTGCGTTTGAAAGTTCAATGAATAATGAAGTCGTGCTTCGCTGTATCCACACCTCCCACAGGTGATCGAGCTCGCGTTGAGCAAGTACGAGCAATGGCTGAAGAGCGAGGGAGACACGTTTCAGAGCACTCTGTACGAGAAAATCGTGCGAGAGCTCATGACACTCGGTGAGTCTGGCGGTCCTTCGCTGTTGCCCGTCACGTTCTGTTGAGTATTCGTCGGGCAGAGCGTGTCGAAAAATGCTTGTGAAGCTTCAGGTGTCGCTACGAACGGCCAATCGTTCATTGCGCATGATAGAATTACACTTGATGCCCTGATTGAGGCGTCGGATATCGAGGGAGGAGTCACTGCCCTAGAAATTTTCAAAGTAGATAGAATATTGAACGTTAGAATGGGGAACTGACTCGCAGATCATACACGGTGCTGGGTGCCGCCTTTGCAAGCGCCAACCCTCATTTGCATTCGACCCATGCTTCGCGCTAAGCGGCATGAATGCTGTTAATACACAGGTATCGTTGAAGAAATCTCCCTCGGCGGTAAGTCTTTGTATTTCTCGACGTTTGGGGGGCAGTCTGCTTCTCTCCGGACCACCTGTTGCGTCTTTTGTTGGAGGTACACGGAAATGCTCATCTTAGGCCGATCTTGCAGACAGTGTTCGGATTTTTGCACCGCAGTAAGAAGCAAACCTCGTCGACCCTGCGAGTTCAGGTAGGAAGTCTGCAGACACCTTGATGTCAACTGCAACGGTTCTCGAAGACCGAAACAGGTGGTTTGGAGTCGCTCTCGAAGTAGACTGCTTGAAAGGTGCAAGAAGACGAGAGCTTTTGAAAGGAACAGCAGTTGTACCAACAACGCCATGTTTGTGTCGTGTTCATGGTTCATGTCAGTTCTCAATGGGTTACTGTCGAGTTTGAGGGCGGCAGAACAAGCAATTGAACATGGTTTTCAGGCATTCGAACGACGCCGCGGAATAGCGGTAAATGCGATATGATCAACGCTGTGGAGAAGAAGGAGCGAGGGGTGAGGTATCGATAGACACGGATACGGCTCCTCCTTCTCTCTCTCTCTCTGTCTGTTTCCCTCTCTCTGTCTCTCTCCCTTCGATGGCTGACGAGAACACTGCACGTGAAATAGCCTACCGCCCCCCCTCTCCCACTACTTGCGGGTGTGTTGTGTCATACGCGTGACCAAACAGAACTCTAAACACAACTCAATTAGCTGCCCGCGCTTGTTCCATGCAAGCAGGGGTGGTGAGTTTCGCGCTTTACCTTCTACATCCGGTGGTGGAGGAGGGGGACCTGTTTCTCGTCTTCGAGGTGAGCGTCCAGGAAGGAATTAGAAGTACAAACGTTTTGTGCTGCTTACTCAACCAGCTATGCGACAAGGTTTCAATCACGCGTTGCGCCATGGTCAGGAAACTGTTTTCCTTGGTAGGGCAAAAAAGCACACTCATGTCTGTACGTCAAAGCTTACAGGGGGAGAGCCGTAGGGGCAGATTGGTAGTTCGTTTACAATTAGCCGGAGAAGGTGTAAAGCGGCTGTTGAAGTCGCTCATTTTCCGGGCGAACACGCCCTCGCCTTGCCCTCACTCCCCTTTTCGTCGAATTCTCAACTAGAAGCTTGGGCAGGTGAGTGTTTTGGACGCTCTTTGAACTTCGCCCCCCCCCGCACCTACCCCAACCGCCCATCCCCGAAATGTCGAATCATGCGCCCGTTCGTGCGAATTGACTGGGTTCATGCAGTTCTCCCACTACGTGATTTTCTTCATCGCCATCTTCACGGTGCTGCAGCTGGTAATGCTGGGCGCATCCACCTATCCCATCAAGCGTCGGTGGGATATTGCAGCGTACAAAAGCAAGGAGGAGGTAAGCGGAACTACACTACTGTGCATATACACAAAGAGAGAGGGGAGGGGGGGGGGGGGGGGGGGGG